TGCCATGCTTTGCCGCCAATGGGGGTTCATTGGGTATCATTGGCCAAATTACTGCCCAAATTTGTATTGGTGATAATAAATTAAAGGGCCCGATTCTGGTTTCCTCATCCCTTGCCGTTCCGTGCTTACTGGGGTCCGATTTGTTGGGTAAGATGCCGATCAAAATTTTGATCAACCAGGCATGCATTGAATTGCCATCCGGCCGTCGGTTGGCATTCCTGCCCTCCCTCACTCGGTTGAGTACGGCCTACACCACCGTGCAAGCGCTGACGTCCCGGACGGTGCGCATTCCTCCTGGAGCGCAAATGCTCGTTCCCCTTCGCTTGCGCAAACCACTCGATTCGGTGGCGACGGCGGGGTGAATACTCTTGGGTCTGTCGAACACGGCTGTGCGGGGGTTGGAGCTGGTCGGGGCACAAACCAGTGTGCAACGACAGGGAGCCCTTTTTTCAGGTCTTGAATGCCGGTTGCGGACTTCCGTCATACCACAAGGTACCGTGCTCGCTCACGCGACACCGGCACTCCAAGGTGATTCGGTTGTGGGGCATGTTGGGGCCGTGCCTCGGCCGCAGCCGCAGCCTCACTCGGGTCTGGATGAAGGGTAGTTCACTTCACTTTGCTCAGAGGCTGGCAACCTGTCAGAATTCCAGAGGGAAAAATTGCGGGTGCTCTTGCGGGAATTGACTGACGTTTTTAGCAAGGGTAAATTTGACATTGGCCGCACTAACTTATTAAGCCATCATATTGACACAGGTGACGCTACTCCCATCTGGCAGAACCCCTGTTGGTTGAGTCCGGCGGAAAAGGAGCATGTCCGATTGGCTGTTAATGACATTCTGGCTGTTAATGACATTCTGGCTGCGGACATCATTTCGCCATCCACCAGCCCGTGGGGGGTGTTGATCGTCCTCGTTAAAAAAGACATAATGGCAGCTTGCGATTTTGTGTGGATTTTCACAAACTGAAAACAATTTCGGTAGAGGACGCTTATTCCCTTCCTCGGACGGACAAATCCCTGGATGCCCTGGCGGGTGCACGTTATTTTTCCACACTAAACCTTCTGTCCGACTTTTGGCAATTGCCTCTGGACGAGGCCTCCAAGCCCAAAACAGCCTTCTGTACGCCACAGGGCCTTTTTGAATTCAACTGGCTCCCGATGGGTCTCCACTCTGCTCCAGCGACATTCCAGCGTCTGATGGAACTGGTCCTCGCTGGGCTTCAGTGGGACTCGTGTCTGATATATTTGGACGATGTCATCATCTTTAGCCGCACGTTTGAGGAACACCTAGATCGCTTGAGGGCTGTCTTTGTTAAAATACGAGCGGCTAATCTCAAATTCAAGCCCCAAAAATGTCCCCTCTTGCGGGAATCCGTGCGGTACCTTGGGGACGTCAGCCAATCAGGCATTGCCACTGATCCGAAGACGGCTTGCGTCCGGACATGGCCGACCCTCACATCGGTGGGGGAGGTGCGGAGCTTTATCGGATTTGCATCTTATTATCATCGGTTTGTGGCGGAGCTTTCTTCCATCGCTAAGCCCCTCCACGCGCTGATGGCCAAGGGGAGGAGGAGGCCGCGTTTGTCGCGCTTCGTGAGGCATTGGTTAATGCCCCTCCCAAATGCTACCCCAACTTTTCCACGCCATTTATTCTCGAAACGGATGCCAGGAACACCGGCATTGGCGGGGTTTGTCACAGGTCGTGAACGGGGTAGAATGCGACGTTGCATATGGCAGCAGAGTGCTGTCCCTGGTGGAGCAACACTACTGCATTACACGCCGAGAGCTGCTAGCCATAGTTTTTTTGTGCTGCAATACCGGACATATCTATATGGCAGACGGTTTACGGTGCCGTCTGATCACGCAGCGCTGCAGTACGCGTTGCGGGTTGACCAGCCATCCGGTCAACTTCCTCGCTGGCTCTAAGTCCTACAGGATTAATCGTTCACCGTCACCTACCGGAAGGGTACCAATGCTTTGTCGCGGTTACCACCGAGCGATGGGTGCGTGCGCTTCTTGGGCTTGGGGCGCTGTAAGCAACCAGTTGACAGCTCACCCTCACCCCTCGCGGCGTTGGCCTAAGTGGCTTCCTCAGAGGTGGGTTCCTCCAAGGTGGCTGACGAGTCTGTCGCACGGGATGCCGTTCTCAGCTTCGACCTCGCTGATTGGGGACGACTCCAAATGGAGGACGTTTCTCTTCTGACTGAAGTTGCGCCGCCGCACTATGCGGCCCGATAGGGATAAGGGCCGTGGGGGATTCGCGTCTGTTATCTTGCCGTGATGGCCTCTTAATGAAATTGGATGGCAACGCGTGTCAATACCAGATTGTCGTGCCCACCACCCTGCGGGGTCAGGCTGTATGGGCTGTCCATGAGAGCCTTTTGCACTTGGGGGTACACAAGACCCTTGCCACGCTCCAACTTGACTTCTTTTGGCCGGGCATAGCAAAGGATGTGGCTGATTTGCTGCTGGGCTGTGTGCAGTGTGCGCAATGGAAACCGCCAGTCAAGCCATCCTGTCCGCCCTTGCAATCCATCCAGATGTCCCGCATTAATGAGCTTGTCGCTCTGGACATCCTTGGTCCTTTTCCCGCCACCCCCCGGAGTAATAAGTACTTACTGGTTGGGGTGGAATATTTCTCACGCTGGCCTATTGCCTGGCCGCTCCCCAACCAGTCAGCGATGGACAAGGGTGCTCCTGAGGATCTATTGACCGACCAAAGAAAACATTTTTCTTCCACTCTACTGCGGGAAGTATGCGACCTGTTGGGTACGAAGAAAATCCGTACGTCGCCATATCACCCCCAGATGGTGGAGCATCTGCACAAGATGCGAACCTCAATGCTGTGCCATCAGGTCAGCGAGTCGCAACTTGATTGGGATTTGCAAATTCCCGGTGTTCTCACCGCATATCGGATGGCCCCTCGCGCGGGAACTGGCTATTTACGGTATGGCAGGGACGTCGCCGCCCCCCCCCCCCCCCCCCCCCCCGTTGAAGTGCAGCTGCGGGTCACATCAAACAACTCCAAATCTAAGATCTCGGACCACATGCGCTTCAATATTCAAAAGCTGATGAAAGCGCGGGAGGCGGCAAGGGAAAATTCTCATTCGTGCCAATTGGCCAATGAACGGCTGCGGTGCCTCTGTGCATCTGGACACGTGTGGGTTGCAGGTGACAGGGCCTGGCGCCACTGCCCCCAGGTACCATTGGCCACGTCGCCCAAATTGCTGAGACCCTGGAGGGGTCCTGTCGACGTCGTTCGGGTCGTCCGCCCGCAGTGCGTTAAGGTTCGGTGGGGCCGAAGGTGCTGGTTTGTTCATAATGTTGTCCTACCATCCCAGTTATCAATTTTATTCACCTGTAAAATTTAAAAGATGCAGCATAACTGCAGTATTGGACCTTGTTACCTGCTCAGCCAAGAGTCACGACGACACATTACACTTTCCACAAACATTATTTTAGGGCTGCAATTTCACCTTTTGCAAACTTCACATTCAAAGTAACTCCAGGCAGGGATCGTCTCTCTAAAAAGTTGGGGGATGACCATTTTTGTGCATATCAAAGCCGAAGATGTATGGTGGAAGGTTGTAAAAATGCATTTGCAGGAATGAAGAATAAATGACCATATCGAGGTGTCTGATGAAGGCTGTAATGAATAAAAACATAGCACAACTCTAACAGTGTGCTATTGGGATTTGTATTTTTAAAATAACACTACGTAATATGAATATATGCAAGGACATGAATGCGGTTGTGTTTTTACTGGGGTGGAACGGTAAATCAATTGTAATGAATTGTCTAGTTCATGAACACGATTACAGTATTGAATAAATTGCGATCCTCAATCAGGACTAAATAATAAGTAGAGTAAATGATTATACCTCTAATGTTCATAAATTGCAATTTAATATTTCTAACCAAACACATAATACGATACAATAAACACAAACTTGCCTATGTAGCTGATTGCTTTCATGCCTGGCTGAGCCTGTTTATGAATGTGTGAATTACTCGATGGGCCCCAATAGCTCTTGCAAGTACTGTATTTTGCATGTTAATGTGACACTAAACTGGATGAGGTGTTGCATTTAAGTTAAACAGTGCTTCTTTGTTGCCTGCAATGTTCTTGAGGTTCTCAAAGGTTAATCGTGACGAATAATAGACACTGCAACTTTGCTTACATTATGCTATTGTTTTCTACAATGAAATACTTTTGCAAATAATCACATCACATTTTAATCGTTAATACAGCCTGTAATAGGCACATTAGGCTATAGTCATACATTTATGCTTATTTAATACATTCCCCAGCCCAAATAGTTCACTCAAATCAGACAATATATGGGCACAGATCCACAGCTTCTCAGCCTATAAAAACAAAAAAGGGAAGCAGTATAAAACCATACTAACAAAAAAATTATTGTGATACTGTACTCTATTTATCACTTTATAATTAATTCAGTAAAAATTACGTTGATTACATTTGCACACCTTTGCAACAAAAAATGTTCACCATGCTTCTGCAATTTAAACATATTTGGCTAAATTAATGTTTAAAAGTTATATTAGAATGCATGGCCTTGGCACAATGCCCTATCATTGGCAATTTTGACATAAAAGAAAAAATCCATTAAATTATACATTCAACAACATGTTAATAAAGCCTGCTGACTTAATATGGACACAGTAAAGTTAAATGTGACCAGATTTCAGCAAATTATAATTAAAAACGGTCACATGCGATAGCATTTTCACTTGTTTTAAACATTGTTGGATACCAGCGGGGAAAAAAAACCCAAAACGCACATTTCCATAGTTAATTGCAGGCATATATTAAGATGAGTCATACGGGTGTATGTACTGCTGCAAATAATTTACTGCTGAACATTTTCACCGTTTGACAGTTAAGCCTTAAACTGGGATGAAAATGGTCATAATAGCCTCGCAGTCGGTGTGCTTAAAACTGTGGTAGTGTGCAGTGTTCACCATTCAACTCTCGCACCTGTAGTAAACCTTTGTAGTTGTGCATGCCGTCATTTGCTTGTGCATGCCGCATGCCAGTCGCAACGTGGTTGTTCAAGTCAGCGAGCGTCACATGTGTATGGACCGTTGAGTGTCATTCTTGCTCAAAGACCAAACGTGAAGATATGGAAGTACAATTACAAAAAAATTGCAGCTAAGCAATCAAGATATCCCATAGGTCTTCTTTGCAAAACAAATAATTTATATCAACTGGTCGACAATGCGTTTCTGTAAATTATGTATTGTTATTTTGCCAGATAAGGCCTGCTGAGCTATATTGCTCTTTTTCAGAATCGACTTGGCCACAAATCATAACGCAAAGAAGTGGTTTATCATGTGAAAGTGTATCGCAGCCAAATACTCCTAATTCATTGAAGTAAATAAATTGGGTCAGTGTACTCTCAAACGCATAATACAACTTTCAGAAACGGCGGCCACATCGCATTTACAGCCCGATGCTCACTTTTTAAGCAATCTAACAAAAAATTAAGTAAAATTTTAATCGTCACAAATAACTACTCTGCGACTATAGCAATGAACGATCGTTAAGCAAAAAAGTCAATTTGTTATTGTCCTAATTACGATTACAATATGATAAATCGCGAAAGAATTTCGATGCAGAGAACAACTTGGGTGGGGGGGGGGGTAGCAAAGTTACAAAATTAAACGTCGTGAGGGTATGCAGGCAGTGATGGTAACAGCTATGGAGATCGGTGGTTAACGAGTTGTCGAGAACCTGGCACTTAACGCAGCATTGATGAGTGGTGGGAGAAGCCAAAGAAGCGTGATTGCCGAAGACTTCGGAAACATGCAATGTACGTGAATACTACGTGGAGAACCAATTAGTACATGTTTACTGAATAACAGCGCATGAAGACCTTGAAAGAGCAATAGGGGCGACCCAAGAATAGCAGGTACTGTAGGCGAGCAATAGCTGAAGAAAATGAGATGTGACTACGAAGGAATAGCTATGACAGCGATGGCGATGAATCGGAAAGAGATGTAGAAGAGGGTGTTATTAATTGAGTTACAATATAAGTCAATTGGATTGTCGAGGTGTGTGTATATGAATGAGAGCGATGGGTAAGACCCAGGGAACGAGACGGTGTGGGTGGGGGCGACCGAGTAGTGAATGAGAGTGATGGGGGAGGCCCTGGGCACGTTCTGGGGTGGGTGGGGGAGACCCAGTGCTGAATGAAAGTGATGATGCGGGAGATCCTGGAGGAGAAACGAATGGCTTGAACGAGACGGGAAAGACCCAAGACATATGACGGGGTAAGGTTAAAAACAATGAGTGGATGGAATTACGACGGTGGGGGGGGGGAGCACAGCAGCGACGTTTGGAAGCCAGCGATGGAGGGGATGGCAATCCGAAGCTATGGTTGGACTGAATGCGAAAAATGTGGGTAGCGTAGAAGCCTTTGGGGGAATCCCACGACATTCAAGGCGATGCGAGGAGACGCACGGTGAACCCAGGCGCAAAGTTAAATATAAAACGACTTAAGAGTTAACCACCCCCCCACACACTTAATTGCGACGCTTTAAACGAGAACCCCGACGCGCTCTTAACGTTGTTTTATGTAACCGGGCCCTGACATGTGAAGCTGTGGGGGGTGGTAGGGGGGCCTAGGCCGCGCATTGGAGACGTGCCCATCAGCAGCGGCAGGATGAACACTTCCAACAGCGCACGCACTCACCTCGACAGCGATGAACGTAAGAATTCAACTAAAGCTGCCGTTCGGAAGAAAAAAAAACTTAAAAATGACAAAAATTCCGCCTGGAATTGGTGGACTGGGCCTCACCCCCTGACGTGGGCCCGGAGCGGCGATGAGGGGTGGTGTGGGGTGGGGGGTGGTGAAGGGATTCGAGTCTCGCTTTTTTCTCACCACCACCACCCACCACCGCCACTGTTAATCGTCAATCGCCGTCGCATTGAAACGCGTCAAAAAACATAATTAGGCAAGGCGGCTAACGTCGCAAAGCGAACGCGGCACTCACCTGGTACAAGTAGCTTATCCAGTTGGCGTCCATGAAGAGAGGCGGGAAAGTGGGTCTCAAAGTTAAAGGATGAGAAGTTTATTTTTAATTATTTTTTATCTAAAAAAAAATTCACCGGCGCGCCCCCGACAGGCTTGCGCTGGCGGTCCTGGTGACGGCGGCGCGGCGGAGGGACTAATAATGTGATAAGATCGCGTTGCAAGCCGCCGCGACGCGAACAAACAAAAGGGTTTAAAAGGCGCGGCCTGCTCCCGCGGAGAAGCCTCCTCTCGCCTCGCCTCCGCGAAAAGTGGGACGAGCGGCCACTTCCGGTTGACCCCTAACCCCTGCCCCCCCCTCTCTCCCTCCCTTCGGTCCCCCCACCACGCAACCACCGCCCTCACTCCTTTCCGCTTCCCACCGTCGTGACTTCCGTCGTGTGACGAGAGAGCTTCCGGTTCAATCCTGACCCCTGTTTGTCCTGCTCCTAAATCGCTTCCCCCTCCCCTCCCCCTCCTCCTCCCTCCACTCAAGATCGTCTTCTTCCTCCTCCCCTCAATCTCCCTCACTCCCTCCCTCCCCTGTACCCACATCAAATAAAATTTCCTCTCCAATCTCTCCCTTACTTTCTCTTCCCCCTGTACTCATTTGCCCCTCTCCCATCAGCTCAGTCTCCCATCTCCCCCTAATTAATCCTCTACCCTCTTCATTGTATCCCTCCCCTCCCCCTCTTCCTCTTACGCCTCATAACTACTGATAGACTCCCGTCAGAAGGTGTTCTAATATACACTGAATCGCATTACAACTGCTCACTGGCAAAATATGTATCCCGTCCAAAGGAGTTAGAAATAATAAGGTTTAGCTTTTGTAAAATTTTTATTTTCGTCTCAGTATACCACCGTCCTGCGAGGGCTCTTGTTACAGCCATCCAAGATCAGTGACCTCTTCCATTTTCAGCCTCGCATTGACCACAAATCATACTACAAATACTATATTTATAAAATGAGCCTAAAATGTATTGATTACATCCAATACTTGATTTGTCTTCAGTCCTTACTTCAACTGGTCCACTTTCAATATGTATTTCCCCCCTAAGAAATCAGGAAAAATAAGAATAACTCCTGGTTCATTTCTGAACTAAGTGACCTCCGAAAATAATGAGCATGGGCCATAGCAAGGAAATCAAAAAGTCCTAAAGCTACCCTACATTTCAGAATACTCCATAATAAGTGTACTGCTCAAATTAAAAAAGCGACACCTAAACACTTGAAATTATAGATATCTCCTAAGACAATCCCAAAAGATTTTGGTCTGCCATAAAATTCCTCCAATCTCCAGGACTCAACACTAACCCTGTTCATAGTCTTAATCATTGTCAGTGAAATTTCTGGTGAAAATATTCTTGACGCTTTCAACAATCGTTTTCTACAAGCAGAGAGTACATTTTAAACTAGTAATCTTTCATCAATGCATGTCACTCATTCTCCCACACCAAACCCTAATTATTTTGCCCCTAAATTTCTCAGGACATTCAGACTTAAAATTATAAACAATTCTCTACATCTTTTTTTTATCCCTACAATGCTGCTGAACCAGACAGCATTGTTCCAATATTTCAAAAATTAGGAGACAATGCTCTTGCATCCCTGATATGCCATTTGCTTAATATGTCTGTAAATTCCAACTCAATACCCATTTATTGTAAATTGTCATATGTCCATCCTTTGCACAAAGAGGAGGTGGGGGGATTTAAATAACCATCCAAATTACCAGCCCATCTATGTTGGTCTTTTATAAAACGTAAAAAACCGTTCAGAAACAGCTGGTCAACTTTCTAGTCTTATGGAAAATGCACTGAACATCAATCTGGCTTTATACCTAAGCTGATCACAAACAGTTTTTGACTACAATGTCTTACAATGTCCACGTTTCGTTCAAGCATATTAATCACTGGCTCCACGATCAAATTATTTAACAATATAAAAATCCTTGGCGTCATTCGACTCCAAATGTTCCTTTGACAGCTACTCCAACCACAATCAGATCTTGCAACTACCACCTCAGGGCCTTCTATCATGTATGTCCACTCATCACCACTGATATCGCCAATACCCTTGCCTGCAGCATCGTCCAGTCCTGTGTCGGCGATTGCAACACTGCCCTTGTTTGATTCTCATCAAGCAATTTCAAGAAACTCCAATGGTTGCAAAACAATCTTGCCTGCATAGTCCCTGGCGCCTGTCATCCTCAGTGAGATTCCCTCGCCTCCCTCCGCTCTGTTCACTAGTTTCCCATCACCACCAGGGTCAGCTAAATGATCACCTGTCTGTAACATTGTGCCTCTTTTTTCAGTCCACCTTATCGCTCTTCACTCGTCACTCTGAAATACAGCTCATGGTAGAACTATCTTCAACACAACTCACACATTTCTCTCTATACCAAGGACCAGGACTAGCATTGCCAGGCATAATTTCTCTGTGGCAGCCTCTGCCATCTGGAACACCATCCCGCTGAAAATCTACATCTACTTTTAAGATACACTTAAAGACCCACTTCTTTAGCCTGGCGTTCGAGCGACACTGAGCTTTTCGCTGCACCTCTGAGTCATGGTTATATACGTCTGTGATATTGTGCGCATGATAAATTGCATTAGTATTATTGTACCTTTGATCATCACATCTTACAAGCCAGGTTACTCGATTCTGGCCTTTGCAAAAAAAGCAACAGACTTGTTTATAAATTATTTATAAGGTAGAAAACAACGTGTAAAATTGGTAATTCTTTCCTTTGACTTCACTCTACTATAGAAAGGTGAAATCATAGGGTTCAGTGCTTATTCATATTCTATTTTCGATCTACATAAAGAGATTATAGTAAAATCTATCTCATTGTAAAATTAGACTTTTTACTGATGATACTTATTTATACCCCAGGATCTTCATGATAAATGTATGACAAAAAATTACAAGAAAATTTTACCTTTTTTTTACATAATCGCCTTGAAACCCCACCTGAATGCAAACACAACTAGATACGTTACTTTTAGGAATATCTACTACATCTCGGAACAATTTGCAATTTGACCATATGCACTCCCTGCTGTAGAATTGAAAATGTTTCTTGACATCTGGCTCAAATGTCATCTCGACTTCAAACATATATAAAATTTAAATAAAAAAACTTGTATAAAAACAAATCCTGCTTCTCATGTTCTACACAGAAACATTTTATAGCTACTACCGTTATGCCTATCATAGACTATGCTTACATCGTATACGAATAAGCCTCTAAAACCACTCTGGATTAATTAAATACTGTACTATTGTTATACTTCCTTATGTTTTATCTTACAAACTACTCTACTATCGCTGTGATCTATACCCCAAGACCAGTTATCACCCACTTTGAACTCGAGAGGGAAAGTCATTGGACAAGTTCATATTTAATGCATACACACATAACTCAGTCCCTTACCTATCCAAAGTATTTATCCATGACCACAATCCTCAAAATCTTAAGACGAACCACAGTACTGAAGTGTATTGTACCAAGGGAAAAACACTCAACTGGTTCTCACTCATTCTCTGTAAATGTCCCAAACATCTGGAATTCTATAGATTCAAACATGTCCATGCTCACTCTTTCATCTAAATCACAATGTAATGCTAAACTGTTGATTGTTTAGATCTTTAAATCTAGATCTTTATGAAAACTTAACCCTGCAATTGATTTTGGCATACATCCTTCTCTGACATATTGATATAAAGACCCACCTTATATTTGAATGTTTGTCATTTTATTGGCAAATGTATTTTGATCAGTCTAAAATATAATTCCCAAGCTGACTTACATTAGAGGGAATCTATTATGTATTTAACAATTATTTATATTTGAGCAATCATTTATAGTTCTCATGTGATACTGTTTTAGTGCTAATTTATATTTGCTGAATTGATGTACTTTATTTGTTTTGCGATTATCAGTCTGTTACCCAGGTAAATTTTGCAATTAAGACTATCCTGGTTTCTTCAGTTGTTCTCACCTATGCTGTTGTAACTTTCTGACCGGCAAATACTGGACATGTATGAAAAGGAGCTTCATGGCTCATCGGATTTCTCCAAGATAAATACAAACTCTGATTCTAAACAAAATAAACATTAACCTTGACTCCTCCCATTCCCCCCTCTTCACTGTTACAAAAAAATCAACAGATTCGTCAAAAGCCTTAAGATAACCAAAAATAGGCGATGTTTCGGGAAATGAACCTTCTCCAATAGCACGTAAATCATAACTGTTATAACTTATACTCTTAGGTTTTTTCGGTAAAGTAAAAAAACCTAAGAGTATGAATCCTTACAGTCACGATAGCTTCAAATCTATGGTATAACTTATCACAATACTTTACATTGACCTGCCACCCCCCCCCCCCCCAGATGAATTTCCGGCCCCCACCCCTCGTCCTTTGCCCCACCCTTCCATCCATCTCCAACGATTCGATTCCCTCAATTCCGTAAAAATTATACATCGCGATTCTCGCATCTACTCAATGTTTTGCCATCGAAGCGAACGTGATCGATCGGCAGCGATTGTGAGCTCGCGGACACGCCATAGACACGTGACGCGATAGAAGCAAGCTCAACCTTCAAAAATAAAAGAAAAACACCGTCAACTGTGTCGAGTTTACATACATCGATTCCAACAAAACCAGAAAAAAGAATCGTTGGTCGGGGTGAATCGACGCGAAATCGCGGGAACCCGCGGGCCCACGTTTTTGAACTCCATCGCGGCGGTGGAGGTGGACGCGGCGGCCGCGTCTCGCCGCGGACGATCGAACAATCAACACTGCAACACCGCGACAAACGTGTGTTTACATCCCGTCCACCACACGAGCGGAGCGAACACAGAGGCGGGGGTGGTGGGGGGCGGCAGTGTTCGACAATATGGCGATACGATGTGACGATAATCGTATCGTCCCGATTTTCCCTCCCGAAATTATCGAAATATCGCGATTATCGCGGCTGATTTTTATTATTTCCCTTTTTTTTATCGCTGTATTCGCTGACCCAGAGGGGATGCTGCTATTTTGTGGAAACGATTCCTTAAATGTCGCGTTGGGAATATTTTTCTTTACCGGAGTAATAGAGGCATGGCGGTTGTTGGCACCATTGTCGGGATTTTCTGTAAATATTTTAAGTATTTCTCGTGTACGTATCCGACAACCGTGTGCGTGAATATATTGTACAGGTAACGATTGCACGTATTATGGCAGGATTATGATAAAATAATAGCAATCGAACGTTTACATAATCTGTACTGGCAGCGCAGGCAAGAAGCAGGAAAACGGTAACAAAAAAAATATTGACAATCTGTGAAATGCAAAGTTATGGGGAAACATCGCGATAATTGTCTTATCGTGGGCATTGATATTGTATATTGTGGTAAATTATACCGCGGTAATCGTTGGTCATAAAAGTAGTTGGGGGGGTTTTTGTTGTTATCGACTTTTAACGGCGCTTAAATGTATGGCAATGAGTCAACCTGCCAAGCAGCGAGCCTTCGAAATTTCACGTGGCCTCAGAGTGCACCTATCCTGGCACCGCCACTAAGTGGCCAATAACGTTTGTTAAATCAACACTGGGAAAACGCAGCGCACGGTCAATTCGGCACGTCACAACAACACAGCGTATCGTGATATACCTATCTTCATTGTCTTTTTACCAAATATTTACATTGAAATAAATGTTAACGAGCAAGATATCTGTGGTTCTAAAGCAATATCAGTCTTATACCCATTGGTTGATGTTTTGTTGTCATTGACGCAGGTCCTTGGACCCACGTGGATGCCCTAGGACTCATCGTTGCTGGTGCTGTACCCCTGGTTGCTTCATCCCGGGCTGCACTGGAGTGCTGCTCTCTCTTCTCTCTTCCGTGTTTCCCTGCCGCTAAGCCAAAATCCCACCCCCTTCTACCCTGATATCGAGTGATTGACGGCCCGACGTTTATGTGACCCATCATCGTTTTCGTCACCAGTAACAATACACAAAATGGAGTCGGCATCAACAGCAGATGTTGACGTTTTGCTCTTCCCACCAGAAAAACGAATTAAATCGGCTGTCTGGGAATATTTTGGCTACCAGAAAGATGACAAAGGCTGCCTTATTAATACTGGATGGCCAATTTGCCGAACGTGTTTGGTTGCAGTATCCAACAAGGCTGGTAACACATCAAACATGATGACTCATTTGCGTGAATATCACCCAGCACTGCATACAGAAGCGTCATCTTCTGCTGGTGTTTCCTTTGTTTCACCAAGCACCACCCTTGCTACTCCTAGATCCATTCGACTGTCATTTGCTGAGACTATTGAAGGGACAAGGTCTAAGAAGTTGAATCGTGAATCAAAAGAGGCCAGAGCTTTGGATAAGGCTGTGTCCTACTTCCTGGCTAAAGACATGCAACCTTTTTGCACAGTTGAAATGCCTGGTTTTAAGCAGCTTGTCTCCAAGCTGAATCCTAAGTATGACATGCCTGGCAGAACCTTTTTCACGACAAAGGCAGTACCAGAACTTTACAATGAAACAAAGGCCAAGGTCCAGCAGTCATTGGATTCTGCCTGCTGGTTCTCTGTCACAACTGATACCTGGGTGGGCTGCACTGGGAAAGGGGAGCCCTACATGAGTCTGACAGTGCACTACATCAGGGTAACAGCAGACGGTGAATGGAAGCTCGAGTCACACTGCCTGGATACATGCTACATACCTGAGGATTACAGCGGCATGCACATTGCAGAAGCTTTCCAAGAAATGCTGCAAGAGTGGAGCCTAAATGTCCTCAAACTGAGCAGCGTCATCACAGAAAGTGCTACCAGCATGAAAAAGGCATTCAGTGAGCGGATGAAATTGCAGTGGTTGGGCTGCTTTGGCCAAAACCTAAACCTGGCCGTTCACAAGTCTCTGAAGATCGAGATTGTGGAGTCGGCAGTGAACTTATGTCGTAACGTGGTAAGTGCCTTCAATAGGAGCTGGAAGAAGAAGAGGGAATTGACGAAGAAACAAGCTGAGCTAGGAATGGAGCAGCAAACCCTTATTCAAGACACAACAACCAAGTGGGGGGGCATATACGAAATGGTGGCCCGACTCCTGGAACAGCGGCAACCTGTGCGTGCTGTGTTGGCAGCAGACCAAGGAAACTTGCATCTTAATCCAATGGATACTGACATTGCAATACTTGAAGACCTGGCAGCGGTGCTCGGCCCACTGCACGAGTTCACAGACTCATTGGCCTCTGAAAAATATGTCACTGTGTCTGCCTTGCGACCAGTATTACACCACATCCTGAATGACATATTGGGGGAAAAGTACGGTGACACCAGCTTGGCGAGAGACTTAAAGACGTGCATCGCTGGTGAACTCAAGTCTTGCTATGCCAGTGACAATGTTAAGATTCTCGATGTGTGCTCATTTCTAGATCCTCGATTCAAGAGTGACTTTGTAACAGATTTACCATCTGTCACTGTGGATTTGATGGAATGCATCAGCGCAGTGGAAGAAAATATTTTCACGACGCAAAGTGTTGCCACGTCTACAAAACTAGAATCCGGTGCCAGCTCAACAGGAGCTTCTGCTAATGTGACTACCTCTCCTGTAAAAGAAGAAGTGCCTGGTGCAATCGGAGCCAAAACTAACAAACTTGGGGCAATACTGAAAAAGATTACGGCCGCCAACCAACTTCATAAAGAAGGCACCGACGCTGATGACGGTGCATCATTAGCAAGCAGAGTGAAGAAAGAGATCCACCACTACATTTCTGAGCCTCTATATAATGCTGAAAGTGACCCTCTGCGCTGGTGGTCCGTTCGTTGCATTGACTTTCCCTTGCTGTCAAAGGCAGCTGAGAAGTATCTGTGCATCCCTGCCACCAGCGTACCATCTGAGCGAGCATTCGGCACACCGGGGCAAATTGTCACACCGTTTAAATCACAGCTGTCTCATGAACACTTAAACATGCTTATTTTCTTGCATCACAACTTAAAGTAAGCCTTGACTATTGTAGTAACGCATTTTCTGGATAAAGTACTCTGGAAAATAGATGCACCCCATACTTACATAGGAGCCAACACGTGGGAGTGGTGGTTAGCACACAGCGTTCACTGATACCATAAACTCGCACCCCAAACTTGCACCCGGTATCAATAAAGTTATACATCTGGTAACATCTACCGAATTATAAGATGCAATGCCCAACTTTTGCTTTAAAATAAGGGGGAGAAAATGATAGAGAATATGGTAGTTTCCATTTTGTGTAACTGACAGCATGTGTGTCGAAACAAAGCAATTTGGATTGTAAAGTTTTAATGATTCTAAGACTTAACGCAGGTTTTTTTTGTTAAACTGCAGTTGCTGGCACAGGCGCAAAGACCCAAAATGTCAAGCAGTCTTCAACAGACACCACTGTCAAAGTTGTACGAGATAAGAGTTAACTTTAGAAGTTAATTTAGCAAGGTTATAAGGACTTGGGAAAGAGACAAGTGGGATTTCCAAAGTTGACCAGTGCACTGGAAGAAGAAAGAGAAGTGGTTTGAGCCATAGTATGGGAGTCGAACAGTCTGGATGTATGGTGGTTGAACAGGCAAGTAGATTTAATCCTCAAGATGGGTATAGGAATCCCTGAGTGAAATCCATAAAACAGTAACGGTCTTAGCAAGAGTGATACTATGGTGACTGACCGCCGGTGAGCGATTGACTTGAGTGAATCAGTGAGTTCTGGATCATTAAATCAACCTGCTGTATACAATCTATCAAGTATAGTGAAGTAGGAACTGGATGCTTTACTCAATATATGACAATTTTTCCCATTCAAATTTGTGATTAAAACAGTTCAGAGTAAAGAAAAAGGCTTTGACATAAAAGAAAACTAGCTATGATACCTCCTTAGCCAGATTAGTAATACTGTATAGCAATTCCATGACATCAGGTTGGGTTGTTCCAAGTAGATTAATAGTTTTACTATGGATAAGAATATTGTTTAATATGATGGCAGGAACAATGAAATTTCCAGTATTACATGATATATAAAATACGTATCACCCTTTTTTTTTACTCCATATATGATGACTTGCCCTTTTTATGTTGAGTGAACTGCAGTTAAGCAAATAAGTCATCTTGATACCGGAAGTATTGCAAAACACAACAAAAGATATACGTGTAAAATACAATTAAACGCAATTTATGAGAAACTGACATCGTGACTATACCACAACCTAAATGCTAACACCTGTACACATGCACCCTGCAAAATGTTATATAAAACAATGTCTCGAATCTGATCCGCTGAGGACTGAGGTACAGAAACACTCCGACTAGCTGGACTAATACGGGGGGCCCTGGTTCGGTTAGCTGAAACGTCTGGCTTGCCACGTAATTTAATGAAAACCTCCGGTTTAATGTATTGTTATCAGGCTTGTTTACACAGGAAAGCCTCGCTGAATCTAGACTTTTTCTGAAGGATCTACCAAATGCTTGTAGGAGGGAGTGATGATTGCTATGTATATTCCAATTGAGTAATTTGCAGAAATTTTTTCAAACTTGGACCATGACGCCCACACACAATGGCCTATTCTTGCGAATGACATAATGGGATCTTGAACGTTCACTGTGAAACAGAACACGCTATTGATAGTCCATGTCACTGCCGTACGTAACAAAAATAAAATCTTGTGTACATATGTTAAATGTGTGCATTTTACTCGATAAACCAAAAACAACTAAAAGTACTGGCTGTATCTGTCCCGTGTATCGTTTTCTGTCGGTCGGTTTGGTACGTTGCCACCCCATCATCTCCCACCATTCATACACCAACCCCACCACTCCTGCACTACCTCTATCAAAACATTCCTGCGGAGGGAGCTGGGAGGAACGTTGGGTTGCTGCTCGGTCAATGGCCAGGGTCAACGGCGGCATGGTGTATTCCGCAAATATGGCCGACTGCAGGGCGGGCACAAGTCGGCGTGAGTATATTAAACGTTGGGTTTTATAAGGGCACCACGGGGTGACCAGCCCCTCCCCACCCAGCCCCACCCCTCCCAACCACCACCCAGCCCCACCCTCCCCACCCAGCCCCACCCCTCCTATTTTTGGATGCACGACGGACGGACACAATAATCCCCTGTGGGCTGGTGTAATCAGGAGGTTCCTAGCCAGTAGAACAGTCCTTAAAGAGCTGCATGCGGCTCCTGACCCGCAAGTTGCTGATTCCTGGTTGAGTCAACTAAAGACCATGTTATAAATATCTTATCGTCTAGTCAACTAGACCATGTTATATAGTGTACGTCTGAAATAGACTCGTGCAGTTTGAAAATAATGTTACTGCATATTTTATGTAAATGATTCATTGATATTATTTAATTTAAATTCGTTTTTTTTCATTGGTCCACCCATTCCAGCTAAATGTAAAATCCGACTACCTAGGGGTTTTACTGTGGAAAAATGTTGAATATGCAAGTATAGAAAATTACGTTGAAATGTTTTCTTGTCATGCACAAATAGGCATACAAAAATATTACTGGACAAAAGTAAAGTACAAACTACTTCGAACGTAGGAAAATGCTTTACCTTATAAGTGAATGTAGGAGAGATTAAGAATACCATGTACAGGTAGTCCCCGAGTTACGATGGCTCGACTTGCGATATTTCGATCTTACGATGGCGATACGACAAAATTGTCATCAACAACCTAACATCGTTCAAGTATGCAGACGACGGACAGAATCTTGGTGAGTACAGTACAATGATACGTTACAATACGGTCAATGCATGTATGATACGTAGCTCTAGCGATTTCATTTTAGGGTTACCACGATACGATACATACGTTCAATGCATGTTAAAAGTTTTTTTTTTATATAGCAGATAGGATTGTTTCCTGAAAAAACTTTCTATTAAATTGCAGTTCATATAGGTAGGCTAAGAATTTACCTTGTTTTTGTTAACTTTACATTTTACTGTGCAATACAGTATTGTAATTAATAAATACATACAGTATATAGCAGAGGTGGGACAAAGTCATTGTTATGCAAGTCCAAGTCGAGTCTGAAGTCATCAAATTCATGACTCGAGTCTGACTCGAGTCCAAGTCACATGACTCGAGTCCACACCTCAGAGGTGGGACAAAGTCATTGTTATGCAAGTCCAAGTCGAGTCTGAAGTCATCAAATTCATGACTCGAGTCCAAGTCACATGACTCGAGTCCACACCTCTGGTATATAGTTTATACACAACGGTACTGTAAGTTGCTCTGTTTTGCTAAATTATCACCATTCTTTAAGACTCCTGGGTAGGCTAGGCCATCTTCGACTTACGATATTTGCGACTTACGATGGGGTCGTCGTAACGCATCTCCATCGTAAGTAGAGGACTACCTGTATGTGAAAAAGTCATATTTGTAAACATCGCAAGAAAATGACAGACCGTGCAAAAATTCTGCACTGGGGTGGGGGCGGTTAATTGGTCAGGGCAGATATGTGGTCAGATATGCAACTCTTAATTATAACGTACGAGTGCACGGATTTTCCAAAAATTATAAATTAGACGATGTTATATTCTTAAATAATATGTATAAGTTTGCTAAACATTTGGGAGATAACTGTGTAAAAGACACAACTGGAAAACAATAATATTCTTAAATAATATGTACAAGTTTACTAAACATTTGGGAGATAACTGTGTAAAAGACACAGCTGGAAAACAATAGTATTCTTAAATAATATGTACAAGTTTGCTAAACATTTGGGAGATAACTGTGTAAAAGACAACTGGAAAACGATAATATTCTTAAATAATATGTACAAGTTTACTAAACATTTGGGAGATAACTGTGTCAAAGACACAACTGGAAAACAATAATATTCTTAAATAATATGTACAAGTTTGCTAAACATTTGGGAGATAACTGTGTCAAAGACACAACTGGAAAACAACATAAATTAGTCCCTAGAGCAAATACCGAAAGTGGACTGGGATCAAAATTAAGAGGTGGACGAGAGTAGATTGGAGTGAATTTGAAAAGCTAAACTTGACATTAAGGAACATACTAATATCTGAAGTACTTTTTTTTTAATCAAGGCATATTGCCTGATATGGCATGGAGCGTAAACATGAACACTGACGAATAATGTGGAACAAAAGCTCAAAAGTGCGCCAAGCATGGAGCTATGCATTCTTGGGATTGTCGACAGAGGAATACGTGGATTCAAGAACATGCAGGTTAAAGACTTCATCTTAAGTGAAATATGTGTGCTTGGGAATAACATGTTGCTGCTAGAAGGGATAAATGGCCAGTGGGTGAAAATAACTACTGAGTGGCAAAGGAGGGACCGTGCCCAAAACTATGCCAATCGCAGAGATGGAGCAATGAAATGGGATTCTAGATTTGAAGCTTTCGTGACTGCAATGATTCATTCTTAGGTTTTTTTCGGTAAAGTCACGTAGGTAAAAACGGAAGCTTGTGTTGCCTCCGAAACGTCGTGATTTTTATTTTATTTTACGTTTTAATGTTTTTACCTACGTGACTTGACCGAAAAAACCTAAGAATACAATGAGATGGGCTTGTGTGCAGGTGCTATATGAATTGTTACAGTGCGAGGGATGGGGAGGCCTTCATCCAGCAGTGGATTTTTAAACTACAGGATAATTTTCGTGATTGTGTATGCAAACATTGAGCATTTTTCAAGAACTGTTAAACAATATATTGAGCCACAACACAACTGCAACAACTCGACTACAATCACACAACTAGAACTTCTCAATCACAGCAACATGACTATTATTGGGTTGAACAAGCAACCTTGTATCCGTTGGTACACACGGTAAAGGCACCAGCAGAGTCAATGATATGTATGGGAAAATTAACCAGGAACTGGAAATTAAAGAGAGAAGACAAAGAATGGGAATAGGATGGAAAAGGAATGGAAAAACGGGACCAAAGGGGTAAGAAAATATTAGGAAAAGGCGACATCAAAACCTCGACGCTGCTGCAAGGAAACGGCACCTGTTTTCACAGTGGACGGTGGGGTTTATGGGCGGCTTGAGCTGAATCACATAGAAATTTAGATATTCTGTCCTGTATAGACGAGAAGGGAGTGGTTCAGAATGTGGATGGCCACACACAAGTCTCGGTATTAAACGAAACTATGTTTTATTTGACCAGGTAAAGTCCACTTAGTTATATATCTATATATCACCTGGCCAAAAATGAATCGCTCAACGAAGTGATTGGTTCTTTAGGTAAAGTCACGTAGGTATATACCTACGTGACTTTACCGAAAGAACCAAAGAGTATGGATTCCTCCAGTCACGAAAGCTTCAAATCAACTCTCAACGCATGTTGATTCTAAATGTGGAGGGGAAAACCCGGAGGACCTGGAGAAAAATCCACGTGGGCCACGGGGAGAGAGTTACCGCAAAATCTACATATAAAAGGCCTCAGAGTCGGGATCGAACCCACACGCTCCTGATAGTTGGCGAGTTTGTTAACATCTCGTCGCCGTCATTTGTGGGAGGCTTGAGCCGATTAATATCGATTAGGAATCGCGCTGTTGGGTACGCACGGTGCGAAATAAGTTTTAAATAGATACATACAAAGTGCTATATTTCTGAAGACTTCCCGCCTCAAGCATCAACAACAACAACCACCACAGGAACAACAGCAGCTGCTTGACCGGTGCTTTCATCCCTTACATGAGCATATTGTATGGGACTTCTTTCGCACCGTACGTAGCCAAACCGTGCTAATCGGAGGCGCTGTATTACCAACATGCGTTGGACAGTGGTGCAAAAGCACAAATTACAAAGCAACTCAACACGTTCGTTCATAACACGAGTCCTGAAAATGTAATGCAAATAGAATATATAGGCGACGTTTCGGGCAATAGACCATCTTTAAAGCGCGCATTGCCACAGCGAATAACAGTTGCAGACTGCACAGTTTACACCATGAGGCCTGATAAGAATCACATCCGGATTAAGTTGTTTATATATATACACATGTGCTTATTGTTTCCTAGTAGGCGCTATTATGTAACAGAAACACCCTTCGGTAATAAAAAATAAAATAAAAAAAACACTCCAAATAATCGATTACAAACGGCATCATCGGGCAAAATCGCGTTTCGACGAAGCCGGTTGTTGTAATCACGAAGCGAAACGTCACGGTATTCTTAAATTATAAATAAAATGTTGTGCGTTTTACTCTCCAAGGCGTAACGAATTGGCACGAAATGTTTACCTCACAAACCTTACTCATTGGCTGTGTCGGGTGGTGGCGGGTTAACGACACATATATATATATTTACGCGATATAACCTACACCCACTGCGCCCCTCTCTTCCCCCCCACCAAAAAAAGAAACACCTTTATTACAGATATTGATCGCGAAAGCTTACGTTTTAAACCATTACTGTACGGTCACAAAGAACGACATGACGTCACTACACCGGTAACATTAACTCGGTGGATGACGTCACGGCAACGGTAACTCGATGGATGACGTCACGTCAACGACTGGGGGCTAGGGGATGACGTCACCCACCCCCCCTCAACTGCCACCATCCTCACTACATCATGGCGGGGCTGACTCGCATCGAGCGTCACGGAACCATCTTCTCACGGTGCGCCCCCACCTCTCCTCCTCCTCCTTTCCTCGTCGCGGTTGTCGCGCTCCCGTGTCGTCGTCGTCGCGCCGTTCTTAGCCGCCGCGACCGTGGCTGCTGCTGCTGCCGCTGTTCGTCGCGGGTTCTGTGAGCGCGTCCGACCGCCGCCGCCTCCTCCTCGTCCTGCCTTAGGCCGCGGGGTTCAGGGTCACCGGGTCACGTGACCTCCCCCCCCTCCTCCCCAACACGTGGGGAGCGGTGGCGCAGCGGTGAGCGCAAATCCAGCCACTTGTGCCCGATTTGTCGTGAAATCCATGCGCACGTCTTGGTCACGCGCGCGCGCGTTGTGAATGTGCCAGACTCCGAATCCGTCGGGAGGTTGGCCCACACGAAGCTTGCAGTTTCTCTGGACAAAGTTATGCCCTGGTCCCCCTTCCATACGCTTGGCAAACGTGGAATCATTCAAAGGAACATCTGCGCCGGTTTGAAATTATTCAGGCTTTGGTTTAAATAGACTGGATATATTGTGAGGAGCTCACAGATCCTTCAGATATTTTGGACACGTTCCCGTTAGTGAGATTCCTCCGGCAGGCAAGGCTGCGTTGGCTGGGTCATGTTGCCCGCATGCCCAGCCACCGCATGCCCACGCAGCTTCTGTTTGGCTGGATAGAGGGGGGATAAACGGGCTTGAGACTAACTAGAGAATAGATGGAGTGATGTGGTACAGGAGGATGTGGAGCTGATGGGACTTGCCGACGACTGGTACCGGCGGTGTCAAGATCGGCCTCTTTGGGGGAGGTTGGTGAAGGACGTTGCTACTGGGCAGTTGGAGGCAGTCGCCCTCCAGCAACAACGGAGGGCGGAGGAGCGACGCTCACAACAACGAGCGGAGCGCCGGGTGGCTAAAACACAGCAAGTTGCCACAGTAGGAAACACAGGTGGTGCATCAGCTGGTCTTCTCAGTCAACCCATGGCAGCGAGATCTGTTCCGTGACCTGCCAGCGAGCCTTCGACATTTCACGTGGCCTCAAAGTGCACCTAGAATTCTATATTTGAAGGTTTCGTGACTCCAGGAATCCATGCACCTAGCATGGTACAAGCGCCGTGATGAACGGCGGTTGTTGTACCTGTGTGTATGTGTGCAAGAACATGAATTAAGTTAATATATTGTCGATAACGGAGGATAGATTAAATTAGTTTCCTGCGTAAATTTATTGCCGGTTTTTGAACGTACGTAAAGAATGAAACAGCAGCACATTGAGGTGCCGCGGTGGCGAGATGTTAACCACTTCGCCTGGTATGCAGGGGTTGGTGGGTTCCATCCCGACCCTGACGCCCGTATATTTGAAGTTTGCATGTTCTCCCCGTGGTCGTGTGGATCTTTCTCCGGGTCCTCCGGTTTAATCCTCCACATTTAGAAACGAGTATTTGGCTGAAATACATTTCCACGTGATAAGCCACTTGAGCGATCATTTGTGGCCAGGTCGCTTCTGATAAAGAACTACTTACCTCGCTTGGTAAAGTAAAAAAAGTTGAAGTCTTTCTATGTGTATCGCAGGGTGCGTGACCTGATGCGTGCCCAGGTGATCAAGGAGGCCGACCGGCCATTGTGGTATGACATCTACGCTGCCTTCCCACCAAAGCGCGAGCCCAAGTACCAGGGCACGTGGACGCCACTGCTGCCCACGCGCTCGCAGCGCAAAGTCGCGCACCGTGAACAGCTGCGCCCCGAGCCGGACCCCGTGCGCGCCATCGTTTACGCCGAGGACACCGTTCGCGCGTACGTACGTCCGTCGCGCCCTCGCCCGCCTCTGGGACAAATATCGAGATTCCATTTTATTAGTCGGATCTCTTAGAGACGCCTTTAACAGATTGATCTGTCAAGTCTGTTGTTTAAATGCATCCGTGAAAAAGATTAGCTCTGAGCTTCATAGCTCATCGGATGCCTCCAGCCTAAATAAAGATTCTGATTCTGATTTCCAGACTTTTGCCCAAGGACGTCGCAAGAGACCACCTCATCAATGTTTTTTGTATAGAGATCTCAGCAGAGACTGCGGTGTTGTCGATGGTTCCTGTCATGGAACTGGCTTGGCAATCTTTTGCCAAACACCCCCATTAGATCTAGATTTGAAGTTTTCGTGACTGCAAGGATCCATACTCTTTGGTTTTTTCAGTAAAGTCACATAGGCGAAAATAGAATAAAAATTAAAATAACTAAATTAAATCGCGACGTTTCGGGCACAACACAAAACGCCGAAGTATGCCTAAGAGGCATACTTCAGCGCTTGTTTTTTCTCTGTGTTTGTCCCCACCTAAGGACGGACGCTTGTGTTGCGCCCGAAACGTCGTGATTTAATTTAGTTATTTTTATTTTATTTTCACCTACGTGACTTTACCGAAAAAAACCAAAGAGTACCCCCATTAGAGACTGATTTGTTAGTCTTTTGTCTGGAAACTCCATCATAGACTGTTGTACAGTCATGTGCCTGTATGTGAGAGTCCACATGTGAATGTGTGATCGTGTGTTCATATGTGCTGGTCTGGATGTCACATTTTTTTTGCACGTAGTGTTGTACATGTATTTACCTGTGTGTGCATGTGCGTGCATGTTTATGTTACGTGTTTGCGTATGCAGGCGATTTTTCCAGACATACACTGCGGGCCGGTACGACCTCACCAGACCCAACTTTGTGTCGCTCTCACAGAGGTGAGGTGTGCTAGTCATGTGACCACAAATGATACGTATGTATATATGTTGAACTTCTTTCGCACGTACGTAGACAACTGTGCAAAAGGCAGTTCTAAATATATGAGTTTTCAATCTAGATTAAAAATTGCCTAGCTCCAGTGGCCTCTTAATATTGAAAGATTGCTGATTGTCATGTGCTTGTGTGATTGCATTGCAGAATTGTTGCAGCATTGTGTGTTGGCTTTGAATTGTTACATAGTAGTTGGTGTGCATTATTTTTGTATGAAGCATATTTAGGGATTGGTGTGCATGATATGACTGTTGGGGTATGGATGTTTGTGTTGGCGATATGCAACGTATTGGGGTAATATTCTTTTTTATTGCCATGAAATTTGGTAATCCTTAAGAGTAAACTTAACGTTCATGCTTTGTTGTAGCACTGCACCTATAGCAGCATCATATGTTGCAGCTGAAGTGGGCATTGTATCAGTAAGGTGTACGTTGATGTTAAATTGTATTGCGCTTGTGGTGACATCCTGCCAATGTATATTTTCTATGGCTGTTTGAAGTGTGCTAAAATCACCTCCACTGCCGACGCGATGTGGGGAGGCCTTCATCCAGCAGTCGATTGACAAATGGTTGATCATTGTGGCAATTCGTGGCTGATCCAATATGGTTCTGGTGTGGTTGTATGGGTGCCGCACAGGTCTATGTCCTCGTTCGTGGAGAAGTGTGGTTGTTGATGTGCGGTGATTGTGATGATTTGGTCTAGGTTTGTGCAGCGCTATGAGGAGCTTCAGGCATCTGGGGATCACCCTGAAGAGAATCTATTTGAGGAAACTGGGAAAGCATTGTTGGCGGATGGCATTGTCCTGCGGCGAAAAGGCAGCAAGGTATTCCACATGTTGAATCTGGACCCTACAACACACAGCCCCCAGAACCAACATTCAATACCATAACACAGGAACACCAAAGTCGTCAACTCAAAACACAAAAAGCACCTTTGAACCCAAGAACTCGTAACACACAGTGTACAAAACCCATGGTCTCAAAGCACGCAACACGCTCAGGGTTCTAGACACACATTACTCCAACACCTTTATTTTGGGTTATGTTTTGGAACTTGCTCATAGCCTTTGTCCAAGGTTGATCAACGACTATTTTGGGTTTATGCTGAGGGTTTTAGTCATTGATTAGGCAACAATTTATCTGTTCATAATAGAACATGGAAACAAAGCATTTAAGATGCAATTATGAAGAAGAACAGGTTGCGGTCATGGGTGGAGCACATGTAGAGGATGGAGGAAGGAAATTTACCGAGACAGCATTGGAGTGGTTTCCTAGATGCTTGCGACCAAGGGAAGGCTCTAAAGCCAAATTGTGCGATATTACTAGTAGGAACCTCCTGGTTACATCAGCCCACAGGGGATTATTGTGTCCGTCGTGCAGTGAGGGGCTGGGTGGGGAGGGTGGGGAGGGGCTGGGTGGGACTGGGTGGGGAGTGGTTTGGTGGGGAGGGGTGGGGCTGGGGCTGGTCACCCTGTGGTGCCCTTATTAAACTCAACGTTTAACCTACTCACGCCGGCTTGTGCCCGCCCTCACAGTCGGGCATATTTGCGGAATACACCACGCCGCCGTTGACCCTGGCCATTGACTGAGCAACCCAACGTTCCTACCAGCTCCCTCCGCAGGAATGTGTTTTGAGAAAGGCCCTTGTGGGCTGGGTATCAATTTTGCAGAAGCCGAGTGATTTGTCAGAAAGAAAGTGGTGATTGTGAGGCGTGGTGGCATCGGCAGCATTCATTATGATGGCCTCTTGATCTTGCCTTAAAACCTTAGGTATGTGCCCTTGGATGCATCACGTATTCTTTCATTGTTTGCTGAATTAAGGTCAGCGTTGTGCCCTGGGATTATGTTCCGGCAGTGTCCTGGTCTGTTTTCTGGTTTGTATGTCAGGTCAGCATGAGGTTTGTACTAAGACTGATTTTCAAAGCTGCATATTGGGTTAGTTTAAAGTTTATTTTATTTAGCCAGGTGAAAACCCAAGAGACCAGGAAAGTCTAATTTGCAAGAGTTACCTGGGTCTGGTCATTAGTTGGGTGAAAAAAATATGCATGGCATGTGTCAGGGTTTACTAGTTATGTCCTGGTTTGTGTTGGTGCCAGGTGTTATGTCAGAGTTTACTGTAAACAGTGTCCTAGTTTGTGCTCTGTCGTTATGTCTCTGGACAGGTAGCAACACTGACCTTCAAGTACTGTCATTCAGTTGCGTGAGATGTATTCATCAATCGACGTCGCTGGTGTTAATCGTTTGTGTGTTTGCTTTTCAGCTTGAAACAGAGGCAGAAGCCGCCACCCCTGTGGGAGCATCAGACCAGCCTTCTGAACCCGCAGCATCTTAACCACGAAACAACACGTGCACCAGCAACTGAATACTGTGACATTCATTGAACCAGCTTAGAGAGCTCACTGGTCGTGTATATCTATTCTGGAGAGATATATTCCAAATAATTCACACCAAAATAGTTTAATCTCTTTAAATGAGCTAAAGGAACCATCACCCACACTGCTCGTCATGACCTTTATCGCTAGCGGGTACATCCCCCCCCCCCCCCCACCCTATGGACTCCCAAAAGTATTTTACCTGGTTCTAGATTTGAAATTTTCGTTACTGCAAGGATTCATACTTATTGTTTTTTTCGGTAAAGTCACGTAGGTAAAAATTAAAAGAAATGAAATTAAATCAAGATGTTTCGGAAGCAACATATGCCACCGTGATCAGGTGTTGACTGCTCCAGCAAAATTGCTGTGATTTAATTTATTTTTATTTTTTACCAACATGACTTTACCGAAAAAAACAAAGTGTTTACCTGGGTCAAACAAAAATATGATAGGACCAGGGTTGCAGTCAGTTTCCTCTAACTCGAAAGGGTCACACTGTATAGCACAGTTTACGAATCACTGCACCACTGCTGCCATTATAACAATTCCAAAAGTGAATGTTGGAGATGGACCTTAACGATGGATCAAATTTCCATCATGTGGCCAAATCACAATGTTCTCAAGGCATTGTGGATTTTTTTGTCCATTTGGCAATGCTGCCCTCTATTGAGAGGCAAATCAGAAACCAGTGAAGGGTGCATGGCTGGATTTTGATCAGCTCAGTTTATTTTGAGTTGAGGCTGATTGACCTAAGAAGCGATTTTCATTGGCTACCTGACCATAACGTCTGATACGATATCAAACACGTGATATGGGAAGGTAGGGTTTCGAGAGGTTGCATAGAAAATCATGGACATTTTATGAACATGGATAATTACCTGAATTGTGCGCAATCGAAAGCTTGTGCATCTGATCCAGCTGTAAATATATTGTGATCACCCTGGTCATACACAAGATATTTGATGAAGCATAATTTACACTTCATTGGCTTGGTAATACCACAGTCGCTTGGGTATTTCACAGATTATATTAGTTTTTTTACTGCAAGAAAACATCTGTTTAATAAATAACTATTTATGATCCCTAATCTTGCCTTTTTTCAGTTTTCACAAAGTACACAATGTACATTAAGCAAGTTAAAGCAAATTGATGTCACCAGCACGAGAGAGTTATACCCGTGAATTTCCGAATGCTATCCAATTACAGCAGGGGACACCTTATCGGAGCTGTGTAGGACACTGAATTGTGGATATGGACATCGAGGTTATGAGATGTTTCACATCTTCAACTCTTAAGATTTTTTTTTTCTCCCGAGTTTGGCAGCTCCTGTTTCCGACAGTGACTTCCCTTGCATTATTGCTTTTAATAAAAAAAAATGACATCGCCTGAGTAGATTTGGTCTTGTCCATTCGGTCATATCTGTCACTTTTACAATGGATGTATGGACATCCGTCTATATAAGGTGCTTACATTTTTTTAAATATACGAATGAAAATTTGCAACAATACCACAATAAATGTGCTTCCGGCCTCTGGAGACCACCTGGAGAAGATTCCAGGAATGTGTTGACAATGATGGCGAATAAGTGGAGACTGACTTTTTGAAGCTATTAACATACATTTATTATGTTACAGTGTATCAGTTTCTCATTAAAAACGACAGTCCCATGAAAGTGTTAAAAAAAATTTAAGCACCCTGTTTATACGGAACAGATACATAAATGAAAATTCCTCAAGAAATTATGGATATCGAATCCGACTTTCCCTCCGTATACGGAAAATATAGTTGCTGAAAAGTTGCTCAAATAGCGAATTTCCGTATATTGTTTTTGCCGTAAACGAGGGATGATTTTAAAACAGTTCTGAAAAACAAGATTGGACTGGCACTTCAGTGCTTACGTACACTAGGGGGCACAGTTGATGCAATCACTGACGAATCGCCAAAGAAATTTGGCGAAGCTGCTGCGTTGGCAGTGGTGCACAAGCACGATTTAAAAAAAATAACTAGACTACATTTCGGGCGATGGGAGTACTCGCCAGCATGCGCTATATATATTTAAGGAAGTGTCATTGATTAATGTTTTTCAGCCAAAATAGGTGGTGGTGGGGAACTGTTCCCCACAACTTTCCATCCCGGCAATCTTATGATTTACCACAATTCGGGGTTCCAATTTTATTCAAGAAAAAAATATTTTTAATTGAAGTCAATTGGGGTTCTAGTTGCTGCAGGAGTTTTGGAACCTATCACTGTAAATACAATCTAGATATGCAAAAAGATTAGATTTTTGTGTTTTGATGTACATTGTGAAATTAACGACGAATATCGAACGATGATCTCGTGCTTCATTATACACCTATAGTAGAACCTCGGAGATCGAACGCACCAGAACTCGAACAAATCGGTGTTCGAACGATATTTCCGAATATGTTTTGTCCCGGAAACCGAACGAAATTCGGAGGTCGAACCGGCAATCGCGACTTGAAAGAACCTGTACGGCTGAGACGCGTATGGCCAGCGTGCATGACGCCCAGACAAAGGTTTTACCTCCTCCTCACCACCTTCCACTCGAGCCATCAACTCTCCTACTACAGGTAAAGTGAAGTTGAATGTTCATTTATTCCATATATTTATTTCATTTATTTATTGTGTTTCTTGTTTTTTGTATGATTTTATGCATGTAATTACTGTAGACTTCGTGTAAAAATGCTTTATAATGAGAGATGTCTTGTGTCTGGAACCAATTAATGTCATTTACATTCATTCTTATGGGGAAAATTAATTCGGTGTTCAAACAAATCGGTGTTCGAATGGCCTTCTGGAACGAATTAAGTTCGATCTCCGGGCTACTACTGTATTTGTCAATTACATAGTTACTTATGAGCAAGCCTTCACCACCCCATCCACAGCACCTCCGTCTGTCCTGTACCCTCCTATCAGTGAGCATTCCATCTGTGACACGTGCGTATGTACCTAGTCTTCCTGGTAACGACTTGTCGCATGTCGTAACGCAATTCTACGTGTGTTCATCCACAGTTGCCCACACTTGCACATCGGTCATCTCAGATATGCATCGTATTCGTGAGGGTTGCCTGTGGTGGCGCACGCTTCTGTGGTCCAGAAGCGGGGTTTGGTTTGGTGGTCCACAGATCTTTTGAAAAGCCTCAACTCCATTGAGAAGTGAGGTGGCTACGAAAACCTGGGGTCACCCTTTCTGGGGTCAAAGTCGAACTTTGAAAATTACTTGCAAATTGCCTGATTTGGTAACTTCACATAGCAACGTCGAAACTGCAGCGGATTATCCTCGTCTGTAAACATAACTTTATAAATGGCCTCGTGCTATCAGAATGGCACGAATATCAAACGGGCTCGATATTGTATTGCATTTGATTGGCAGGACGACTGAAGTCTCATCGAGGGTTGCTACCACCAAGGTAAAATTGACCAGGACATCATGGGGATAAGAATAACCCACAATACCAGTAGAGGGGAAAACTACGATTTTGTCATTCACGCAACTCTGATTAGCACGGTTGGCTACATAAGGTGTGAAAGAAGTTCAACATACGTACAAATTGCATATCGCAACGATACACAATCGGCAACACATAAACATATATACCCAGAGACCTGACTAGATTCTTGCATGAAAATGTGTTAAGCTCTGCTAAATCTATCATTTGTTTTTCCTTCAGCATTGCAAAACCTACTAATGCCACGCAGTGACGCCGTCGCTATTATTGGAACATTCCAGATGTAGAGGTATTATTGTGCATCTCCCATGCTGTTAGCCGGTGGTATCGGACACGTGCCAATATGGGGCAGAAGACGGCCTCAGCCCCAGTGTTAAGGGACTATGGCCCACAGGGCCCAACAGTAACCCCTATGGAACAGCATGACCAGAGGTGCAGACCCCAGACCCCAGGAGGGGGGCTGGATGAGGATGACATCACCCCCAGGTCCTGCTGGAAGGTTCGAGAAGGAAGGTGTGGCCACGGCTCTGTATAAAAGCCGGACCTCTGAACGGTCCCGGCAGTCGTTGCTCGCCTGAAGATTGAAGAAGCCTCCTGAAGAGAAGAACCCAAAGGGCAGAGCTGGACCCCTGGCTAGGATCGGCTCAAGCTTATACCGGTGAAGACGCAAGCGTCAATCGTGAGAGGTGTACGTTAGCCAGTAAGAGGCGTATTAGTCTGTAGGGGCTACATCCCTAGCATATCGGGTGTAAGGGGCCGTTACCCCTTTGTGTTACGCAGTTATTGTTAAATAATAAGCGTGTTGCCTCAAAGAACTCTCCTCTAGTTATTTACCCACTACACATACATCAATGCGTATTCAAAACAAAACATAATGGCGAACAAGCCATAATACAGGTTTTTTGGGTTAGATCGTGTAAACATATAAAAGAAGAGCACACATATTCTTCGGTTCTTTTGGTAAAGTCACGTAGGTAGAATTAAAATAAAATGAATCCCGACGTTTCGATCGCAACACAAGCGCCCGTCTTCAGGTGAATATCGCGACAGCTGCGATGACTGCTGCGAGCAGCACGATGTCTGCTTTTTTGTGAAGAAAAGCTGTTACCAGCAAGAGTTCATATAAGTTTTGAGAACAAAGGCAGCCGAAGAAGTGTTAATGGGGTATTATTTATTACCCTTATACCGCAGCTGTCAAAACGTGATTTATTTTATTTTATTTCTACCTACGTGACTTTACCAAAAGAACCAAAGAGTATGGATTCCTGCAGTCACGAAAGCTTCAAATCAAGAGCACACAGTCATTTATATGCAGTCATTACCCCCCCCCCCCCCCACTTTGCGCACGAAGAACACACAAGTGTTGTCATCACATCTTCCCCTCTATTTAAGGAACGAAGCTTAAGGATTTCTCCACAGCTCTGGCTGTTGCCTGATGAAGCCAGTTGTAATTACTGGCGAAACGTCGTACTCAGATTGTTAATGTTGTTGCTTTGCTCTCCAACACACCGGTGTGCTGTACTCGTTTAGTGTTGTACTCACACGGACACTTAACTTTTCCCCTGTGTCACTTTATTTACCTTGCATCCAGTGTTGATGCTCCTCACACTAAAACACACTCTTGTTCCGAACTCCCCGACTTCCCCCTACTCACCTCCACACACCTCGTGCGCGGTAACCACTCTGTCTCCCCCACTCTCTCTCTCACTCTATACTCTGATATCCTGTCCTCCTTCCCCCACACCTCCGCCCTCGTCCCTGCCCCCAGCAGGGGATCAGCCAACACTGCTGGGGAGGACGAGGTGAGGAGGGCGAGGTCCCAGGCGTCTTCTCCCCGACTCTTGTGTTCTTCATCCCTTGAGCACCAACCAACCAACTCCCCGTGCTGCTCCGCACACTCCCTGACATGTCCCTCCTCATTTGGGGTCCTCACTTACCCCCCATTAAGCTGGCGCATCTACGGCGCCTCCGGCACGTGCTCTCTCTCTCTCTTATCGCCTCCATCTCCCGCCTCTCCGGCGCCCCAACGCACACACCTGCTCGTCCCCAAATGCACCCGCTCAATCAATGCTTCTCCCCCTAATTGCTGCCGCCTTTCCGGCATCTAATCCATGTCTCCACACTTGCACCTGCGCGACCTCAGTTGCACTCCCTCCATCCATGCTTCACCCCCTAATTGCTGCCACACCACTCCAGTGTCACCTGACCTCACCCTTTTGCTAACCCCGCGCGTTACGCCACTACGCTAGTAACCAATTGGCATGTTCTATTTACGTGACAAAGCTTACTAGTTGGCTATGTCGGGTGGTGGCGATTTTAACGACACATTTATATATTTACGCGATCTAACCCAAAAAAAATCTGTATTATGGATTATATTCGTCGCGAAAGCCTACGTGTTAAAATGGCAACAATGTCCATGACTCTATATGTAAACGCCATCACAGTGGGTGTGCGTTGTATAACGTGCGAGTGCACGCCAGCTTGAGTTAACCAATAGCCTTATTTAAATGCATTTTCTTGATCACGACACCGCTGGCAAAATGGCCTCTACCAGGAGCAGCCCTAGAGAACCCCTCTAGAGGGTCATTCTCCTACTCTTCCATACTGACCAGACGTTTTTTTTATGAGGTTGGAGTATCCGCACTTTACTTTACCACCCGCGACCGATTGACTGTGATGTAGCCATTCGCATTGCTGGGTGGAGGGATCTGGATGGAGGTGGCAGGAGGGATTTAAAAAAGTTCCCATTATGTAAACTGCCGTGCCAGGAAATGGAGTCGGTGACCTCTGGATTGCAAGCAAAGTGTGCAAATTATTTCACCATTCATGGTTATTCCTAAGAAGTAGAATAATCAGCAAAGTCAACTAAATCTCTTAACTGCACATGAGGCCATTAGGCTTTTGCATGTGTTTTTA